TTTTGCAGTGGTGCGAATGTAATTTACAAAGAGTAACACTATTTTCATAACATCAGGATATTTTAAATGTTTTGTAACGAGATGTTCTCGGTGATTTATGCAATGAATCAGTATGAATTGCGGAATCTGAGAATTATCTCTTAAAAGCATAAATAAGACCGATTATTTTACCCAGCATTGCCGGTGCTCCATCAGTTGCAATGCTTACAAGTTTATTAAGAGGCATATAAAAAATTTTCATTATGGAATCTAATGCACTTTTAATACGAACAACGCGGGTTGACTCTTGAAATGCTACTAAATCTAATAATTCTTCTTTAACAACGAAGTCAGGTGAAACAAAACATATGAAAACTGCCAATTGCGGAAGATCTGTGATATCTGTCGATTCATCAAGGGCTAAGCTGAATGCAATACAGTTCTTCAAATCATTTTGAAAATTATATTTAAGAGATGCATTAATTGCAATTACGTGTCGTTTGGTTGTGTGTCTTGAGATGGAATTTGCGAAAACACTTTGTGCAATGCTGCATTATTTGTATCTAAAATCTAAATCTGTATCTAAGTACATCTTCCAAGTTTTTTTTAATAAACTTTCCTCTCCATATGGGCATTTTGCACGAGCAATATTCCAGGCAATAACAAAACTGGCTTCAGCCACATTATTAGCTTGATTGCTAAAGGTAATCAAAATTGACTGTTGCGTATTTAAACTTGATTTTAAAGAAGCAAGTTTATCTGATCTTAATTTGGAATTTGGTATATACTGATTAGAAAACTGAGGATGATTGGTTTCATAATGTTGATGTAAATTGCTACCTTTATAATTTGTGACCGTATAATTATAAATAACACATAATGCTTTTCCGTTATTGTCAATAAAAATTAAATTCTTCCTCCCACTCATTATTAAAAACTTTCTATTTTCTTCTTGCTCGTATTTTCTTATTTTACTTTCGTTCTCTGTCGTCATATTTTTAAAAGAACTGGAAATGAATAAAGAAATTTAGAAAACACAAGTTTTGTGTTATTAAAAGAATAACAACATGTGTTACATACGACGAAACAAATTATAGTTAACTTACCAAAATTCCAGATTACAAATTATACCCGTAGCAAGAGTGATACCAATTGTTTCCTCCAGAGCACAATGTCAACTGTCCATTGCAATGAAAGTTTACAAATTCAAAATCGGTCTGGAGTCGGTTAATTACACAGATAGTAGATCGTCATTCATCAAGAAGCAATCGGCCGGACAAGGCTTTGACTCCCATATGTTTCTCATAATTGACGAGGCAGTCGAAGGGGAAGAAAATCCCACGAACGGAACTGTTATGCCCCTGCTTATGTTTGTTCGCGCAGTTTTCGATAAGTCATATCATTCTTAAATTGGATGGAAATGAAATCTGTTACAACATTGCACTTAGTCTTTCGCATTTGTTCTCAGTAATTTAAAAGACATTTTGAAACATACGGAACGATAATAATTTTTTAACATATAATAACACAAAAATGAAAAGTACATTTATCGTGAGCCACAGATAATCCTTCAAAGAGCCACATGTGGCTCGCGAGCCGCAGGTTGGCCACCCCTGGTATATACAGTTAATTAAAAATCATCCATAGGATTAGTAGTAAGGAAATTAAATATTTATGTTCCATGAAAAATTAAGCAAATGATCAGTTACAATTTTCTTCACCCTACTGTATACACTATTTGGGTTTTTCTAAGTGGAAACATGGAAAAAACAGGATTAGAACTGTGAATCTTCCAACTTCGAGCTGGAGATGGTAATTGCTTTTTGAGAGCACACATGGGGAAATATGATTATTCCTCACACAGTTACAAAGATTCAGAGTTATGCTGGTTTAAAAATTACACAAATAAAGAGAAAATAAATTATTAAGGATGGATGCAAAACGAAATTTCTTGAGCGAAATTGCAGAGAGAGAGAGATTAACAAAATTGACTTGAAGTAAATCTAAAGATTTTTTTTTTTTTTTTTTTAAAGGGGAAGCAGGATATAAATAACTTCTATTTTTCCAACCACTGAAAAGTCAAATGTTGTTTCAAGGGATGTGCAATCACTTATTTATTTATTTATTTATTTACAGATTTGTAATCAGTTCCTTGATTATTGTCAGTGGGTTAGCAAGAAACAGCAAATATTAGCTGATGATATTCCATACATGTTTGTTAAGCAGAATATAATGGCCAATATTAAACTGATTAAGACACTGTAAGGAACCAAAGCAATATATACTGAATGGTTAATTAAGACCACACACTCAATGCATCATCAGGCAACTTTTCGCTCTCAGGACTATTTTAGTTCTCCTTGGCAAGGACTTTATGGGCTACTGATAAGTGACCTGAAGAATATCAGATCACATTCTATGAGCTAGATTTTCTAATTTTATGATCTAATTACTTTATATTCAACTGTCTGATGTCCCTTTTGGCATCATCACACAAATGCTCAACTAGGTTGAGATCTCGAACCCATGAAGGTCAAAGTAAAGCCAGGCAATACCAGCTTTATAACACAAAGCACTGTTTAGTTAAAAGTATCTAATTCAGTTGTGGCAAAGCATTATCATAACTGACAGTATTTGATCAGTGACAATACTCAATCTGAATTGTTTGATCAATGATATCTTTGAATGTTGGGCCCAACAGTGACTTGCTGAACATTAGTAGTTCAGTCCAACGTTTGAATCTCACACGGCTTGCTGCATAGGCATTTTTGTGGTTTTACCCATGTCTAATGTGTATACGAGCCAGTTTCCCTTAAAAAATCCTCCACAAAGGCATCCCTCCCCTTAGGCAGATAGCTTTCTACTGCTTTGCCATGATCAAATAAATAAAACCTTTGAATGTTGATCCATACAAGTTAACGGCCCCAAACAAGGTTAGGTAAATAATCTGTAAGCAATTATATTGCATCTACCAGCTTGAAGTGTTATGATACAGCAGTTAGTGTCAATGCTTTTATTATTTTCCCTTGTATTTTTATCCTGCCATCTGTATGATGGTGTTGGAAACAATTATTCAGAGCCCTCACCCTTTTCTTTTCATTTATTGACCAATTCTTATGATTCTATGTAAGACAAAGAATAGGTCTTCAATGTCCACAGCTGACAAACTACAGTGTTTAGTGATTACCAGAGCCGGTTCCTGATTAACTGTAATCTGATGTACATCCCTTCTATCAAATGCTTGAAAGTTACCCTTTTTGGACACTCTTCTAGGCTTCTTTGCTTTATATATCTAGCATTCTTCAAGCATAAGAACCAAAAGATACCAAAGATAAGCCATATGTTCAGACCCAGCTTTTTGTTCAATATTCTATTCACTGTAATCATAAACAAAGGTACTCTGAAAACCTTCACAAACTCTTGCTTAAAGCATGCATGATTATATGATGTTAAAAGTTAATTAAATAACATTTTTTATTTATTCCTTTGCAAGCCATGCACTTGCAGTTTTTACAATGATTTAGCCATTACCAGTCTCTCCTCTAGAGGAAACAGCAATAATGTTAAAGCTGATTTACATGAAATTGTTAGGTGGTCTAAATAAACTAATCATCAATATATAGCTGGGTATTAATGTGTTAAGGAAGATAATTCTGAAAGGTTCTCATGCTGATTATAGGTAACAACCCATGTAATTTTAGTATATCTTACTGTAATCACATTACTGCTACCTTGATCATAATAGTCCATGATGAAAAGCTTCTTGCACAGGAACACGAAGAATTAACTTCCGATGGAGCTACAGGATACATGCTAGATTATCTTTGACACCAGCCTGCCTTTGTATACAGGCTCCCGCAGATGCTCAACAATTATTGTGAGAATGTTATTCATTGCTAGATAATACAGCAAATTCTTTATCTCTGCTTTTGTAGATATTCTTGACAAATGGCAAAGAATGACTGGAAGATCAGTAATGGGTTGTATGTAATTGTAAAGGATTGTACGACTGTTCTTACAATCAGCAAAAGTGAGAACATACACGAAAACACATAAAGATGACTACAGAGCATCTGCAATATGTCATACTCATGCAGTTCCTTCTCACATAGCTAGTCGCCACACTACTGGATTAACCATTATACAATACAAACTCATGCTTAGGGCATCAAACAAAGTAGGCACCACAAAAAGATGCTTAGAGCTCAAGGAAAGAGGGCATTACAAGAATTTCCGATAGCTGGTTTTACCACAGAATGTATGGTTCAGCTAAATCATGACCGACAGAAAAGGAATGGGGAAAAACAGGTGTAAATCCATGTGGGAAAATCTTTTAAGTCTCTAAAAGTCTTAATCTGGCCCTGATCATCATTCATAACAATTTTTTCTTTTAGATGTTCTGGATATTCTTGTATGCAAAGTGTATCAGAGTATATTCATTAGCCACTGAAGTTAGTAATATTTACAAAATTATGATTTTTCACATCATAATTTATTATAGTGATGAACATGCCTCTGCTCTTCCAATAATGTAAACACTTTCAAATTTTGAAACTGGACATAAGAAAAGTTTTGGACATCAAAATGGCATTCTTATATTACTGACTATGACCTAATTGACCTACCTAGCGATAGAAGCTAACATAAATTCCATCACATTTTACAGCCCAGGTCACTTTGCATGCTACATGGACAAAAACCTTGCTACTAAGTTCCACTTTTGCATCCAATAACTCTGCATTAAATCACTCATGTAGGTATTAGTTGTTTAAATATTATATAAACTTTCAGCTGCTTATCTTATTTTTATCAGTGGAGCAACTGCAATGGTAAGAAATCTAATTTTCTTGCATAAATAAATTCATTATACACTAAACTAACATTTCAATTATTAAACACTAAAACCCTGAAACAAAAACTATTGCTTAGCATACCAAATAATAAGAAATTTGCTGTTAAAAGGGATTTTTTCATATATACATTCATACAATTTTTTGGAAAAATTACATGCTGGAACTAACCTTTCAGAATTTTTTGATGAATAATCCTTACATCCACCAATAGCTTCAATTAATATTGTGGTAAAATGTATTAGAAAATTATGTAAGCCTAGGCCTACAATAATTTGCAAGAGAAATGTTCGATGATACAGTTTCAGATGCTTTGGTGAAGGTTTGTCAGTATCAAAAACTTTAGTTAACCGTGTGAGTAATTTGCTACATGTTTGCTGAGGGCCTAATGCTTGAGAAACCATTCCAAAGAGATGCCAGGTAGCAAGTAAAGCAGTGTGACGATTTTCAAAAATTTCTTGGAGGTATGGAGTCAGCAATTCAATGCCTTCAACATTTAACAAAGGTAATAATACCTTTAGTTGTTCAGCAGCGTATTCAACCTAATTAAATAAAAATACTTTTAGGATACTGCATATAATTTTTTTCATTTCAACAACAATAGATTTTTGTTCTATAACAATATTAAGAAAACGTAAAACACAACGAGAAAAATTTCCTAAACCACTTCTAGAACTATTTTAAGAAAACAAAAAATACAAAAAAATTTTCACAAACCATTTTTTCAGCAAGATTTTCTATTTTTTTCCTGTTCTCTCCATTCTCATCAGTGATTTCTGATAACAAATTAATCTCAGCAGTAAACTGATTAAGTTTCAGGAGAAACAAATACAAATCAGGAAAGTAATGTGGAAATGGTATTGTATGAACATGGGATAAAAGTAACTGATGCGCAGATGGAAGAGGAAGACCACATGCAGACACTGGTGGATAACGTGATGGAACAGGTGTGATTTCCTCATATTCTTGATGATATGAGGAGTCGACTTGCAAAAGAAGCTGGATAACTTTTTGAAAAGACCTGCATGAAAAAAATTACATAAATATATAGCAATTATATCTACATAGTTATAAGCATAGACCCATATGCAAAATTTTAAAATAAATTAATACCTTGTTGTGCATGTGCACATGTACACACACACATACACAGACATATATATAAAAGACGAAACACTTTCGCATTTATTAATTATTGTTGATTGATCAGGGGTTGGTTTGTTCTCCTTGAAAAGTCAATCAATTTCCGATCAATGACGATAATTACTTGGTTTGTCAGTTAATTTTTCATTTTAAAAGTTTCCATTTCAGTTTTTTCATGATTCAGATTGAAGTTTCTTTTTTAAATATTTTTCAAGATAAGAATAAGTTACTTCATTCAACTACAATTCTAATAACTTTATCTAAGGAGATAATATACTCAATAATCCATTAGTAAATAAATTATTATTTTATTACTTTGCAGCTACTGAGTGCAAGTATTAGGAAATTTACTTCGATTTATTAAAGTATTTAATTTAATTCAATCTTTGATATATATATATATATATGTGTGTGTGTGTGCATATACATACACACACAAGAAGATTAAAGAAGTTCTTCACAAGCTTAATGAGCATAGAGATAGATCACAAGAAACTAAATTCTAAATGGAAACTTGAGTTCCTTTAAGTCTCCTGAAATGATGCATGACTCATGAATATAAAAATTACTATGCAGGTGTAATTTTACTTAGGTTCATACACATTTCTAACATGGAAATTCAATACTTTTAATGACCCCACCAATAAAAAAAAAATTAAGGCAATTTTCTATATAATCTACTTCACTTTTGTAACAACATTGTAAGAATAAGAGAGAAGTACATGTAGGATGCATTATTATAATACAAAATCTAATATTTAACATAACTGTAAAACAAATTTGAGAATGAAACCCACTCTTTAAATGTTATCCAGTAATTAACATTATATTAGAAAATTCCTTGAAATAGTCACAAATATCTCAGAGACATACATGGTTTCTGCTAAAATTTCTTTTCGTTTTTAATAATATTTGTTAAAAAAGCACTATTAAATTTAGAAACTAAAGAAATTTTACAATTTAAAATGACAGAGTATTACACTGAATGCTTATTACCAATCAGTTCTTAATTTTCAGCATTTTACATAGTGTGGTATTTCTTTTACTTTTAATGTTTATGTAACAATGAAGTATCAGTATCTGAGACCATACCAATTGCAAAATTTGTTTTAACATTTGCAGACAAAAAGATATTGAGGACTTATTTGGGGAGGAAGACAAATGAATAGAACCAGCTTATTAACTTCTCATTTAGATTGAATTTTTAAATAAAAATTTACTTTCACACTTTCAGGACTAAATCTTTCACAAAATTCATTGATCAAAAATTTAGTCTTGATTTCCTAATTTTTCCCCCCCCCCCCCGAATGGATTGATACTTAATGGTTATCATTCACTGGGAATGGCCAAAGCTTCCAATCATTTAGCCATTTTCATCACAAGGAAAATTGCCCAACAAATAGCATAGGAGGCAACAGATATTACACCCACAGTAAAGGGGATAGACAATTATAAACATAAATGCTTTCTCCAAGACTCGAATACATACCTATTTATATGGCAGCTGGCTACTATAATCGTCATAGCGAACAGCGCAGCAGTTCCCTAATAAACCTAACTATATTTGAAATCGCTCCAAAAGTTTTGCAAAATGTAAAATTCAGTTTATTTTATAGTTAATTTGTCATTTGAAAGATATTTTTATAACTTATACCTAATTTATCATTTGAATGATATTTTATTACTTTTGAAACACTCAGTTACTAACATTGTTCTCACCTAGACAAAATTATAACTTGTGCGTAACTTCATTTGTTGTACCTTTGCAACTGGCAACATCATTTATGTCTATTTTTATTCCATGAACTTTTATCTTAGACATTCTGGCAACATGCATAATTCTATTTTCTCAATTCGCCAGGCAGAATGTTATTTTTCAGCATATAGCTACTTCTTATCTCTGAATGTAATAAAATACCTAAAAATGATGTCTGTTATTGGATATTATTCAGCTATGATTCAGTTTGCAGTATATTGATTCAAATTCAAAAGAATAGCAACAAAATTGGAATTCAAACCCACACATGAAGGATGATTATTAAATGCCCTGTGAAAATCCTATACACACGATATTGTACTGAATATTATAATGAATATTATAAGTTAAAATACTTTTAGCAATAAAATGTATGGCATCAAAAAGAATTCTAAATTTAGAACCTTACAATCTTTTTATATAAAATTAAAATTATAAAATTTTCACTAGTGGAAACATTACCAACAGAAACATACTAGCATACATTTCTGTGGAGTTTAACATACCTCGGTACATCTTGTTTATGTAGTCTTAACAGCTTCAAAATATTATTATATCTTTCTTCTAGTACTGCATTTTCAGGCAATGTTTTGCAGTAAGATGCAACAGCTATTTCACTAATGAGACATCCTAGCACTAGTAAATCTTTAACCTGGTTATAAAATGTCATTTTTTCACTAGCACTATGTTGGCTCTGTAAATATAAATAACACTGAATACTAGAGATTCATTTATACATATAGCAACATGTTTTATTTATAATGAAAAACACACATTAATTTGTTTGTATGAAAATCTTTACAGCATTACAATGCCTGAAATAACAAATCAACACTAGCATAAGAATCATAAATATAAAAGGATCAAGTCATAGATGTTAAAATGAAGTATCAAGTTATAAATCACTGTATCAAAAAACAGAAGCTTTGAAACTAGGTAAAATTCAATTTCAAGTATTTGAGGCTAATTATGGCTGGACTACAAAGAATTACAATTAACATTTACATAGAGCAGCGGTTTCGAAACTTTTCTCTCTTGGGTATCCCTTAATAATATTTTATATTATAGAGTGCCCCTAACCTTCCCTTTCAGAATCGCCTATACTAAATCCCTAAGTAGACTTGAAATAACATTGTACCACAGTAAACTATCAAACCTATAGTTATTTTTTAATGAATAAATACATATCTTTGTATACACTAAACTTAAAACAAAACTTAAGACTCCACTTTGAAAGGTTCAATACAGTGGCACTTTCATCACCATGTATGGGGAGGGGTGGAAGATTATTTTTTATTCTTAATTACTATCAATTTAAAATCATGAGACATGTTCTTACTTCTCTAAGAAACTGTATTATTTGAGAAAAGAATATTGTTAATTTTTCAAATGTGTTCTTCAAGCATGCATCGAGCATTATTAAATTTTCAGCAACTGCATAGTTTTTTCTTTTCTTTCTTTCTTTCTTTCTTTTTTTTTTTTGTTTTTGTTTGTAACATTAAGTTATTCTGAAAGATTCTTCAATTATATTTTCATCATTTGTGTCAGCTGATATTAGATAACACCAGAACTTTTAGCCAATCACTGAAAAAAGTTTATTAATTTTGGTTTCTAACTACAGTGTTTGGGTTCTAAATGATGCAAAAATAAAGATTTCATACTTTCATTTGATAAAAGTGTCCTATGTATTGTAGAAAGAGGATTTGGGCAGTCCTTATCACTTGTCAATGAAAATGCACATTAACATCCATCAGAATATATTCTTTTCTTCTAAGCAGGACCACTATTTGGAATTTTCTTACTACTAGTTGACCATTCTCTTAAAGAGGAACAGCTTCATCCCAGCCCTTAGCTGGATTTTTTGGATATGCTTGGTGCAGATGCCAGATCAGAGCTATTATTCATGATACCTTTAGTTCTCTGCGAAATTTTACTTCCCTTTATTCTACCCTTTATTCATATTTATTTAAACAAATCTTACATTTAGCAGCTCTAAAGGAACAAAAACTAATATAAAATAAATCTCCACCCTCAAACAAATTTGATTATAATATAACTGCAAAGAAAGACAGCTACATAACTCACATGATGATTTGCTTCATTAAAAATATTATTGGCTGCCAAACTGTTTTATAGGGCCCACTATGATCAAGAAAAAGAGGGGCAATATAAATGATGTGTGGGGGCTAGTTACACCTAATTACATTGCTTTCACACATATTTTGGTCAAAGAATGTCACAATGAAATTTCTTGCAATTACTTTCCTTTTATTGAACGGAAAATTTACATTTTCTGAACATTTTCTTTTTTTTTTATCAGTATTCATTAAAATACTTTGTTTTCTTCTGCCATTACTGTTAAATTTTTCATGTACCTGCCAGAATGTGCATACCACAGGTTAGTAACCACTGACATAGAGGATCCAAGCTTCATCTTCAATAACTAATTTTCTCAGAATGGTTCACCGAAAAAACAAATCCATTGTAGAAACATGATGAAGAAGGGAACTGTTTGCCAACTCAATGCAAACACCATAGTTCAGAACAACTTTATGAGATGATTGTGCACTGTTCCTCAATAAATGTTAGAATGTTTAAAGCATTAATGGATGTTTTAGTCAAGAATGGACTTCAGGACATATGGTTTGGTTTGGTTTATTGAGATAACGGCAAAGCACACTAGGGCTATCTGCCTAAGGGAAAGGATGCCTTTGTGGAGGCCTTTCTAAGGGAAACTGGCTCGTATACACGTTACACATGAGGAAAACCATGAAAACGCCCATGCAGCCAGCTCGTTTGTGAGATTCGAACCTCGGACCGAACTACCAGTGTTCAGCGACTTAACCACTCGGCCGCTGGTGGGCCCTTCAGGACATATGTATCTGTAATAAATGGACGGCCGCTGCAGCATTCATTTTCCGAACTAAAATTGCCAGGTCTTAACCTCTTAAGTCAAATGCAAACTGTCTGAAAGCCTGTATAGTCTGAAATCCTATAGCATCACTTCCATAAACAGTAAAACCTTGATTTGCAAGTACAGTTACTTTTTTGGAAACAAAGCAATATTACATGCTGCAAATGCATCCTTTAATTGTTCATACATAAAAGCACATGAAAGGCAGGCATAACTCTTCCATGGGGACTGAAAAACATTTTCTCTGATAACTAGACAATGACTGAAAAGAGATGGCAGCAGTTTCCAAGAAGTAAGGTTGCATGTAACCTGACTTCATCCCTTTTACAATTTTTTTATCAAAAGAAATAAACTTTAGTTGTCATTGGGCTTTACAGCACTCTTTCACTTGAACATGCAACAACCGCAATCACTGGGATGCGATATGCGAGTACTCATTTAAATAGTACTCACAGTTTAGGTTTATTTTGCAAACGCTAAATTGTCAAGCATTATTAATACCAATTTCGTAAATAAGTATTTAACAAGCTCTTGAAAATATATAAACATATCCCATTTTCCAAAAGCTAAAAAGAGCACGATTAAACCTGAAAGTTTTGTAGTCATCAGTTCAGCTCTTACACTAAGGAAAATTTATAACTGAATCACTTATCCATCTTATGTAGTATTTAAATGAGCAAAAATTAAAAAACAATTGCCAAACACCTTTCTAGTTACACTTACTGGAAGAAATAAGAGGTCAGGATGAAAAAACGGCACGAGTTACACAACTTGCAAAGTAAGCGCACACACTTTTGTTACTGGGCGAGGAGTTGTGCATACAGCGTCTGAATAACCGACAGCACTGCTCCACCAGATGAAGCATGAATTTGAAAGCTGTCTCACAGCAAAAAACATCAATATCGACGCCGGTGTGAATGTTTTAAACTTGACGTGGTGAAGCATTCAATCCTGGCTGGCATAAAGGCTTATTTATAAATTAATGAATTAATACAATACATCAGCCGGAAGATCATATTGCTAATCAATTCCTTCTTTGTAGATATAACATATTTATAACTGACTATGACACTACTTTGCTAACTTACCACAGTATTCGCTCCATTAGTGACCGAATGGTTAAGACCACTGAAGGCTGGAAGTTTGACCCCCAGTTTGATCCCAGGCAAGGGGGTTGGCTGCATGGTTGTCTTTCATGTTTTTTCCCAAGCAAAGGTGAATATGAGCTAGTTTCCCTTACAAAATCCCCTATGAAGGCATCCCTTGATAGAGGCAGATAGCCTCGTGTGGTTTGCTAGATTCATATAACCTAACCAACCACAGTATTGAGGTTGAAGTATCATTGAGTTCAGGTCTAAGCCTCATATTATATCACTATTTTCGTGACTGACAATCTGTAAATCAGGACTAGACCATACATCCTTATGAAAATGTTATGAGTCAATACTACTTTTTCAGTTAAGATAATAAGACTACTACTACTAAAACTCTGAGATAAAAAAAAAAAATCTCCAAAACCAAACAATGGCACAATTAATTGGAGGACTTGCATAAATGGCAATAAACTTACAACTCTGTGCTAAAAACATTGTTCAAGTCCTGAATACCATTGCTCAGGAACTCATGACAGAAAGTTTTCCAAAAATTATTCAAGTTTAAACTAGAGAAATTTGATTCCATGCCTATGGGGGGGGCACCCCGCAAATTTCCAAATTGAATAGAAGGTTAAATCTAATTGATATTATGAAGAATATCCTTAAAAACATTAATTCATACAAGCAACATTTAGCAAGAATCAGCCATGCTACAAGCAGCTTCTAAAGCTAGTATGACACCAGAAACAATTATGGCTATCTATACCCTGGTTAGTTTTTTCTACAGGGTTGCTAGATGCAAGAAAGCTGATGCTTGCTGTAGTTTTGAAAGATAATGATGACAAAAGTCTTGATATTGATAACTATTGGTATAAAATTCCCTATCTGCGGTGCTAGTACTTTGAACATACAGTGGGAGAGAAACACTATTTTAAGAGCAAAACCGGTAGAAAAATATACAGGGTGATTCAGAATTCATCATCAATATTTGGTGTGGACGTAGGGAATAGAAAAGAAGGGGATTTCACATAGGAAAATATGGTGCAGACGAATGCATGGTCGTGTAGAGGGCACTGTGTGTACACAACTTCCATACATAAGCACAGCTGTTTGACGTGTGTAACCAGTCGGCATTCAACTAGGTGACTTTGCAGAAGTAACATGAACCAGTATATGCCATTGTGAGTCATATATTCTAGCACATGGTCAGCAGTTTGAGCATCTCTTGTAGGTGTGTAAAACCGATGCAAAAAAATGTTACATGTAAGATAATAAATGTTTTTTCCTTACTACTTCCTTTTTATGTGTTCTTTCCATCATTGAACTGGGATCATTTAGGCCTACTACATGGCATATGCGCCCATGCATTCCTATGTGAAATCTCCTTCTTTTCCTATTCCCTACCTCCCCACCAAATATTGATGATGAATTCTGAATCACTCTGTAGAATTTACTGTATCAAATAGCTTACGTATGATAGGGACTTAATAGGGGACAAGATCTCACTTGATGCAAATTTCCAGTCTTCTCTTATTGCAGCAAGATTATCTAATTTTAGAAATATGATGTAAATAAAATACATTCCCAAAAATTAATAATCACATGCAACAGCATAAATTAAAAATATATTCTTGATATACTAAGTGACTTATATGACTTTATCTGTTTGGTGAAAATAAATTGCTTTGTAGGATTCTCCCTATTTCAACAATGCAACTCCACTTATGCTGTCTGTCCTAGTAACAACTTAAATTTGGGGTACTACTGCATGGAAAAAATGACATTCATTCACTTGAAACTGACACAGATTTTATTTAAAGGTAAGATGTTCTACAATTAAGAAATTACTTCATTTATTTTCAAATGTTAAATATTTATTTCTAACTACACAAATTCACTGATCTCTACAAAAATAACAATTCTGTACACTAATGCTACATATTTGAATAACCTATGACAGAAACACTGATGGTTAAAAAAAAAAAAAAAAAAAAAAAAAATTAGCTGCCTCATTCTTCACTAACATCAAATTGATTTGTAAAATTTAGAATACTGATGGTATGCAAGATACTTACTGTTTCATAAAAAGAGATCCAGAATTTAAATTTTCTTGCTTTTACTTTTAGCTTTTATCAAAAATTAGCAAAGTATTATCAGGGATAAAATGATATGTATAACTGTTCTGATGCAGTAAGTACCTGAACAACAGCACACGATAATGAGAAACAAAACAGTGAGTGATTAATTTTTGAAAAATTTGCATACCTCCATATATTAAAATACCTATTTTAGAAGCCTTAATTAACTACCCCATGTCATATAATCTCAGGAGATGTGGGCTGTAACTGTTTGCAGATTACAAACTACGCTCACGCGCTAAATTAAGAGAATTTACACATTATTTCGAATTTCTGAAACACTAATGGACAGATTTTAATGAAATTTAGTATGAATATATATATGTATAACAGAGTAAGAGATGCCATTCAAAAGTCTTTTTATGTCTGCAGGATTATCAGTAAAGCTCATAATGAAGGGTGTCCAAAATCCACATTGCGATATAGAACTGCAAATAAATTAAATATGGGACATGGTACCCTCTCCCGGACAGACAGTTCGAGCAGAGTGAAAGTATACTGGACAGGAGGCAGCTGAGCAGTCCCTGTGGCAGTCGATTCCACTCCTGCAGCAAGGCAGTTTTCTCAGAGGGGATGGATGGTTGGTTCTCAGAGGGGAATGGCGATAAGAAATTCAGATACGTCTTCAGATACAGATACGCCAAGAATAATTGTCCAGGGTGAATTTGGACTCATCTGTAAAAAGCATGGTGTTCCACTGAAATCTGATCTAAAGTACACGTTGTCTGCACTAAGCTAAATGGGCTATCCTGTGTGCTTCAATGAGCGGGATGCAAACACCAGGTCTTTTGGCATATAGCCTTATGAAGCCTTCAGACAACTGTAGACCGTGAAACTCAGGTTCCAGTGGCCACATAGAGCTCATATGAGAGCTATGAAGCTGTAGCAGGCCTGTGTCACCTTGCTGAAAATGCCAAATAACAATCCTCATTCATTGTTGATGATCATGGTCAACCTTGTCCAGATCTTCTCGATATGGATCCAAGATCCTAAAAACATTTCCGTAAATTGCAGACAACACTGGGCATTACATTGAGCTATGTAGCCACCCGCATTTGATTGGCCTGTTTTCAACCTACTGACAATTCTCCATTTCATTCCATCATCCATATATTCGTGGCTACCCATTTTACCTGATACTCTCTTATCCAACACTTGTGAGAATATAGTGAATGTCGTGAAGGAGTATGAGTACACAAATTACCAAAAACCCTAGTCCACTTATATATCATTCAAAATCAAACTCTACAGACATGCATGTGTACGCTTACATATTCCTCTCTGAATATTTGCATAATTCTTCGGCATTGTAATTTGTACCTTTGTTTAAAAATTCTCTTAATTTTGCATACGAGTAAACCTGAAACCGAAATTACCTAAATTTGCTGCTATTCTTAGTCATTAAAATTAACTCAGCTCCTTCTTGTTTTATTTCTAATACCTGTTATGTGTCCTAAATTTTCATAATTTTTATGATTTACCAAATTTATCTTCACTGTTGAGAACTTTTGCAATCATAAGTTACCTATAATTTTTTATTCAGATAGTCACCAGTTATAAAAATAACTTAATTCAGCCTTTACATTTACAATATATTGCAAGTTTCATAAATAAATATAATGAAAAGACTTTGAGCATGAACAGCTTTACAGGGAAAAATCCTTAAAGATATTTTAGAAACTAATCAACAACACAATTAAATATATAAAATATTAACTTTATATAATCATGAACTTATAATTTACCATCAGTAATGAAACATAGAAAGAAAATAGAGATTATCTACCTTTATAATAAAACAGCCTGGGAATAAAAAAATATACATACATTAGTTTCATCTCTTCCAACTTTCCCTCCACCTGCCCAGCACAAGAATGTAAACAGAGATTCAAAATGAGATAGGGTTGCTAAAGGATTAAAATCTTTAGGTAATACAATTGTTTGGTTTTCTGGCCTCGGCTCATGTCGAGCATTATCTGGAAGGACTAATGATTTTGACCTATGAAAGAGAAAATAGATTATATAGACGAAGACAAGTATAAAGTAATAATAACTTACAAACTCAGTTTCTTTCACCTATTAGACAAATTTTGTTTCAAATCTCTCTCTTTAACATATGTTTAAAATTATGAAAATATAAACTTATATCATGCCATGCACATATTAAAATAACAGTTCATCAAATCAGTTACAAATTCTAAAATATAACAGTAAAAGTAAATTTAATGTAATTTTAACTGTAAAAATAATTTTCCCACACTTAGAAATTCTCAAACGTATAAATCTTAGAAATTCTACAAATTTTTCATATAGCTGGTATTCCTAAAACATGAATCATTTCTTCTACAGCCACACAAGTATGTCTAGAAATTGATATTAACACTTAAGACCAGCCATTTTTATGTTGATATAAATTTATGAATCCAGTTATTAACGGTTGCTTTTACATCAGCACAGTTTAAAAATTTCTCATACTTCTTTCTGCTTTTAGCTTAACATAAGTTCATAAGTGCGTTCTTACATCATTATCATGGGATGATAGTAATAATTTATTTCATTCATGCTATTTTTGCAATTTTAATGTTAATAATTTACTTTAATAAGATTTTATAAAACTACTACAGAATTATGCATATATAGGTATTGAACTTAATGAAAGTTTAGTGAGCATTTTATTAATCGGACCTTTTGCTTTAATTGATCAACAGAAATTATTAAATTTTGCATTTACGAAAACCTTTAATTTCTTGTTGTTGAAAGTGTTCGTAACTTTCTCCAACATTTTTTTCAGGAATTTTATAACTGAAAACGAATGCCTAACTATGTTTGAGAAAATGAAACTAATAACAATTTTTTTCCATACACAATTCTATAAAATGGTAAAATATAGATAAAATTTTACAAAAACTGTTTTTTAAATGACGTTTGAAAAGCTTAAAATATTATCTTAAGAATTTGCCCCATTTAGTTCAACTAGAGAAAGATCTGTTGTTAAGAAATTTAAAATTATAAAAGAATTAAAATCTGAAGAGCTTCCTGTGACATGAGAATGTTTCACAAATAAGCTAGAAGTATTTCCTCTCTTTGGTTTCTCTTCAGTACTCAATATTCTACTTTGGATTTCATTCTTTCCAACTCATTACTGACAGCATGTCACACAGCTGCTGTAGTTTAGAGAAGGTTTTGGATTTTGAGACTACAAAATGTGATGCTTCATATGTATTCTCTTTGTCAATAACCACATTTTGTAGAAAATATCCAATCATCCATCTGAAATGGCTATCAGATAAAAAAAATTCAGTCAGCGATCTTGGAGACTTTGAGTCCACACTGTGCCATAAATCTTTTCAATACCAAAAATTTTGTTCTAGTTACAGGTTCATTGACATCACTTTAAATAATTGCCCCAGATAAGGAGGAAAAAACTGACAATTTATTATAAAACTTCATCATACACAATGCTGTAAGTAGCTGGAAACAGCTCAGACAGAATGCAGTTATTATGCAATTCCTCTTTAGCATATAAAAAACATTGTCAATTCCCAAAATCTTTCACACAGTAAACTCTAAATAACAACTCAGCTAGATCTCTTTGAACCGTTAAATTCACAGCTGACAACTAACTCATCCTACCTCTTACAGCCATATTTATATATTGTAGTATGGATTTTAAAAAAATTGGTTGCAGGATCCTCAAAATATGTTTTCCCAAATCTTTCTGAAAGTCGTCAAAGCAGCGAGACATCTCCAAACGTCCATAATTCTATTACAATCATATAGGTTAAAAGCAAGTACAAAAATTTTATTACTTTTGTTCATATTTCAGAAGCTTAAGAACTGTGGGCATGTAATAGAATTCTGAAACTAGCCAAACATTTTGCATGCTAGTGGTGACAGTATGACTTTTCCTCTTCATCACCTCAATTTAGATATCGTAAATTTCATAGACAAAACTATATTCACGCTTCAAAGCCCAGGTACTGTGTGCAATGCCTCCATTCTAACATTATAACAAAAAGATCATGCTGGAGAACAACGTTAAACATACTACTACAGCAATAATTTCATTCATTCATTTGCAAGATTACAGTTTTGTAGGCTGAACGGAAATTTCTTCACCTTCAGGAATGTAAATGATGAAAGGAAAAACATATGCTTAACATATGCAATAATGAATTCCATTGATTCTCTTATGTAGTTGTTATATAGTTCCTTTTATAATCTGAGATGGCAACATCCCTTCCATTTTACAACATCCTCATCATATGTAATATATCTAACTTTAGTATTACTGTGTATCATAAATCTTCGTCTGTTTGCCTTCCTCCACATTTCAAATTTTTTCATTCCATTGAACAGAAGTTGGCTTCCTTGTATTCTTTCTTTTTTTTTATGCACTCCTGCAAGTCAATTCTTCATCAAGAATCCAACTGTTTAAGAAGTTTACACTGGAAGAGGTTTTTCGCTTCATATTATTTAACCAAGCTTTTACAAAATTTCCATCTCAGCACAGCAAAAAACATTCTCTCTTTCTGAGTGAATAACTGATAAGAATTCGTTTATTTATATCTTTCCGTCAATTAGTTATGAAATTGCATGTATTTTATGGGAATTTCATGGTTTTCTCTTAATAATAAAACTCACAATTCAGGGCTTAAATATCTTATCCTAGATATAAAATCCTGACATATCTACAGTATTCCTAGCCAATGTAGCATAATTTGCATTGTTCAAACCATGATACCCTTGAAATTTCACACTAAAGAGCATGAGACATAGTAGGAAAATCATGTATTGTCCTAATAGCTGGTGAAAAACCACATTTTCCTTTTCTGTGCAGGTAAAATTATTTTTAAGAAGAAATCTTCCATTGGTGAATTTTATTTCCTAGAATAGTGGTATTCAAACTATGGGTTGTGAACATTTATAGCGGATTTGCAAGGATAAAAATCATAAAAAATATGGCTTGATGGTATATAACTAAAAGTTGACTCTATGATTGGGATCATAAGATTGTTTTTGGGCGTAATTTGCATTTTTATGGGGTACTGCATTAGAGTTTGATTACCTCTGTTCTAGAGCATTTCACATTCATGTTCTAGTTAATGAACACAGTTCTAATCTGTCTTTAACTTCAGCTTTTAAGGTAATTATTTAATAGTAGTTGCTTTCACATTTTGTCAATGTCTCTTCCTATATTAACCCAAATCAATTGTTTTTAGTACATCATATATTCCGGGACAGCTTAATCCTGCTGACCTCCCATCTTGATCATGTATTTAGAAAGAGCTCATGAAAGAAAACAAATGGTGGAAAGGATGCTTGTGGATGAAGAATTCCAAGGAAGTATGGCCACATGAATCCATAACTTGTCCAGAAGAAGCACTGTTTGAAAGAAGAAAGGTTGTGAAAGATGTAACGAATATGCAAGACAACGAACACTTTAACGAAAGATCAGGGAGAATGGATTTTTCTTAAATTTTTGATATAATCTGGGTCATTTTACAAAATATACATTCTCTGCTTAAAATATGCTATTTACACAAGTTTTGAGAATTTAAAAGAATATCTGAACTTACCGCAAGCTTTTCAAAAATCCAGATTTGCCTATGCTTTCTGAAGACGTCTCATCATCACCACTATCTTTGGTATCTGAGACCTATAACATATCAGTAAAATTTTATATTTTAATACGTAAAATACAATCAAATCATTCAGAAAACAAGCTAATCAGTTTTTCCCTCCTGCATAAATGAATCTGATTAAACCCCTGCAGATATATTTTTTAAAAATTAGTAATTTTAAAGACTAGTAGAAGTTACAGTAAAATTATAATACAATAATATGTAAAAACAACAATCTTTAACAAAGAATTACATTGGTTATAAAGCAAATTAATGAAGATAAGAAGATTAGAATTAAAATCAGAATGATTTGTTTAGATTTTAAACGCAACCACACACAAAGGTAAAACTATTAGGAATTTAAAAAAAATTTGAAATAGCAGCATTATTGTAAACATGATGCCTGACAGAAAATTTTAAAAAATACTGTACAGTTGGTGTAAACACTTTTTTAATCACTCTTGTAAACTACAAATAGTTTTTAAATTCAAAACCGAATAAGGTAAATTATAAACCATCAAACATTTTGCAGAGAATAAATTTTAAACATGTTATAAATTATATACAGCGAAGAGTGATTACATTATGACCACCTGTTAATAACATGTATGATCACCTTTAGCCCTCAAAACTGCCTGCAACTGCCATGGCATTGACTCCATAAGGTGTTGATAGGTAGTCTGAGGTATCTGATACCAAGCGCTCGCCAACTGGTCCTGCAATTCCCGCACATTGCGAGGGGCTAGCGTGGCAACACGAATTTGGTTTTCCAGGTGGGATCACAAATGCTCTATTGGTTTAATGTCAGGTGAATTTGGAGGCCAAGACATGACTTGAAAGTCACTGGAATGTTCTTTGAACCCCCTCCCTGACGATTCGACCCTTATGACATGGTGCATTATCCTGTTGGTAAACACCATGCCCCACAGGAAATACTGTTGTCATGAATAGGTGAACCTGGTCTGCAACGATGTTTATGTAGAGCACAGACGTCAGGGATTGTTCTATGGGGATTATGGGTTCTAATCTGCTCCATTAAAACATTGCCCACATCAAAATACCCCAGCCACCGGCTTGTCTCTGTCCAACTGTGCATCCTGGAGCCAGGGTTTCGTTTGGAAATCAACATATTAGTACACGCCCGTTGATGTTGATGGACTAGAAAACGTGATTCGTCGGATCATAAAACTTTCTTCCATTCATCTAATGTCCAATTTCGATGTTTCTTGGCCCATTGCAGACATAGCTGGCGATGAGGTGCCGTCAGTGCAGGGACACGCTTCGGCCTCCGGCTGCATAAGCTCATATGCAGCAATGTACGCAGCACAGTGTGTTGAGAAACACTGTCTGGGTCGCCACTGTTGTAATTGGGGTGATTTCGGCTGTTGTAGCTCTTCAGTCATGGCGAACAATGCCTAACAATCTCCGCTCTCCACTGGAATTAATGGCCCACCAGTGGCCGAGCGGTAAAGTCGCTGAACACTGGTAGTTCGGTCCGAGGTTCGAATCCCACGATTGGACTGGCTGCATGGGTGTTTTTGTGGTTTTCCCCATGTGTAATGTGTATACGAGCCAGTTTCCCTAAGAAAGTCCTCCACCAAGGCATCCCTCCCCTCAGGCAGATAGCCCTCGTGTGCTTTGCCATAACTCAACACACCAACACCACCTCTGGAATTAATGCGCTGTCGATAACACACTGCTGGCCGGTGACTTGTCGTTTCACCATCCATACACCAATTTCGATGTGTGCTCACAACAACTGCACGTGAACAGCCCACTATATGCGCCGTTTCTGATATTGATGTTCCCAGTCGCCGAGCCATAACGATTTGACCTTCATCAAAGTCTGACAAATCAGCTGCTTTTCCCATTATATCGCTAATTGCTCTATGTTTGGAGAGACTTTGATACTATTGTTATTATTCTGGCATATAGCGGGGAATTCCTGTCCCTGCTCTTTTCAGATTCCTGAGTGAATCCCGAATTGGGCCTGACATCTGAGGAAATAAGTAAATAGTATTCGCGAAATGAGGTTTAAGCTGAGGAGGGAAAAATTTTGAAGCCCATTGCCTCCTGCAAGAAAATGCCAAGACTGGACGGAGCTGCAGGAGGGGCTGTGGTCAGGCACTGGTCACGTGGCATAAAGCAGAGAATTTAATGTCATGAAAGAGTGTGGCTTGCCAAGTACTGCACTGGTAGTCAGTTGTGGTGCATTAATTAACGAGAAAAAAGTTTATTAAAGCCGACGACGAGTGCATAACCGTTTTATATACTCCAACATCAGCCACACATACGCAGTGGTTTTGTTACTGGGCGAGCCCATTGTTATTAGATGGAGGGTGGTCATAATAAAATGGGCTCTTCGGTGTATCTTACCAATATTTAAATTGAAAACCTTTGTTTTAAATTCTATTGTCTATCGCTCAGGCATACTCACGGGTTTGTCAAGGTCATTTACATTCCTGAGCAGAATTACTTAAGATAGTTTGGGACAGCTGCACGTAATTATCTTTTCTTAATATACGAGATCACTGTTTTGTACTCTCACCTTCTTAATTTTTATCAACGTCAAGTACTAATTTTTAAATTGCCATACTATTCTTGCATCTATTATTAGTTAATTAATGTTAGAGTCATATTAAATTACTATTATTTACTAACTATTTGCTATGACTTTATAAACTAAATTCTACAGAACAGTTTTATAGAAAAACTCAGTGTACAGTTAAAACAGTATTATAGTAAATAAAACAATCTATATTCTAAATGTTCAGATTTCAATAATCCTTGCAATGCAAGTTATTATTAAGTGGGGTAGTAGCGGAAATTGGAATATGATTCATAATACTGTTTTCTCTTTTGCACGAAAAGTATTTCTTCATAATTTTACTATATTTATCATAAAGAAAACAGAGATGGAACATAAATCCATTTGAGATTTAATCCTTCATCTATATAAAAGGATAATTTATGCTGTTTCTTATATTTATTTCTACATAGTTTTTTGAAAGTTCAGAATTCTTGTTAACTTACTTCCAAAGGCATACCAAATACAAGCAATAAGAAATAACATAAATTCTTTCATACAGAGAAAGAAATCTTTAATGAAGGAACACTTCATCAGTAGAAGAAATAATTCTTCAGAAATACAAATGACAAAGGAAAAAAATTCTTTCATTTTATTATTCCATTGAAAGAAATTCTCATATAATGAATTGCAGCATAAAAAATATTGAGGAAATATACTGAAAGGCAAATTATTATACACACTCGTGATGCGACGAATGTAAATGAACACAATGGGAACAAATATTTTGCGAGCAGCTGGCTGTCGTCAGTCCCACGGAGTATTAATATCACAGCCTTGATGCACATCAGGTTGCCTGATAAATCTGTTTCCCAATGCCTCCGTTTGCCGACAAGTATACTATATTTATTCCTGTCAGCATCACTTCCCTCCCCTTGAATGTTTCTCAGGCCTCTCACTGTTGAAAAAACTTCTGGATTTCTATAAAACAGGATGGAATTTGCCTTACATGTGTTCTTATTGCTTTCAGTCACTAATTGGGTGGGGGGAGTAACTTTGTCTTCCAGGTTCTGTATATACAGAATCCGAAGAAAGAACGTAGAAAGTAACGCTTCACCTTGTAAGGTATACCCTAAGTTTAGCTTACAATTCTGTATTAGAATGAGATTTTAGAATCAAATTAAATGCAAATAAGTCGAAGTTTCACTGACTTTGAGAGAGAGAAAATTAGATTTCCTGAATAGCGCGCGTTTGCCTTTCGGCTATGTCTCTCTAAGCTGCTACTATGCTCGGCCGTATTACGTGCCCTTGATAGCTTCGCTAGCTAATTTAATATGCCAGATGTTGACATCAACCACCTCCAGGAAGAGGAGGAAAAGAAAATGGAAAATTTGGTAAGACAATTTTGTAAATTATTCGATGAGAAACCTGGTTTCTGCCAGGTGGTGCAGCATGAGATAAATGTAGGAAATGCTCTCCCCCCCCCCGAGTGCGGTCTAAGCCTTATTGCTATGACCAGGTAAAAGAAGAAATTTTAGAAGAGCATATAAAAAGAATGCTGGCAAATAAAATAATTGTTCCGAGCAGCAGCCCCCAAGCAAGCCTGGTAGTTATGTAGAAAAAAAAAAAAAAAAAAAAAACGGCTTTCCACCCTCAAATCCGAATTCATGCAGATTCGCCGTTGATTACCATAAATTAAATAGCATAATGAAATATCCCACGTCTCCCCTGCCGATAATTGATGAGATAATTAAAAAATCCGATCTGCTAAGTATATGACTACGCTAGACCTGACGTCAGGATATTTTCAAATTATTGGTAAAACTCGACTATGTCGAGAAAACAGCTTTTCTAATGAAGTCAGGCGTGTATGCCTTTTTGAGAATGCTGTTTGGCTTAAGCGGAGTTCCGCCTACATTCCAGAAATTCACAGATGTCGTATTAAGACCCGTCCTGGGCAAAAGTACAGCCATCTACTTAGATGATATAATTGTTACGAGCGAAGCTATAGACGAACATATTAAACACGTTGAGTAAGTCTTTTCATTATTAAATGAAGCCGGCTTCAAGGTGATACTAAGAAATGCAAGCTTGCGGCCAAGGAACTGAGATATCTCGGGTATAAGATCTCGAAAAAAAGGAAACGAAACAGATAATCCTAAAATCTTAGCAATCAAGAGTTATCCACCTCCTAATACAGGTCTAAGCTGTTGTTACGCAGGGCGTGTATTCCAGATGTTTGAGGTTCAAGTCCCGGTGAGGGCATTACACATTTTTCATGTCTATTGCTTTGAATAAACTAATGTCTCTACAATGGCGTCGTAACTAAAAGGTAGCAGATGATGAATCTCCACCATCAGGATTTGGTGACTGGGTCCCCTAATCCCTAGTCGCCCTTTAAAAGGGGGTATTTCTTCCGCTTTCGTAGCATGCCTTCCTGAAGTAATGGTCAGCATGCTCATCACGTATTCAAGAGGTTCGAGTCTCGGCGAGGGCATTGCTCACTTTTCATGTCTCCCGCTTCGAAATAACCTAATGTCTCTACAAAATATTTCATAATTTATTAGTGAAGTATATATTTAAGAAAGCTTTGGAAAACACAGAATGAAACATGAACACAAATTACACTGATTAAACTATTATTTAAGTAAAATATTTAAAAAATCATTTTTCATTGTAATTTATGCATTGTAAACAAACTTGAAAAAGAGTGTTCTCAAATAATTTCAAATCCCGCTAAAAATGAATTTCATTCCTAATATTACCTTAAAGACAATGTTTCGAAAAGTCTTTGGAGCAATGCTTCTTGAGAAAATACATTTATTTAATTTATGAGGATGGGGATGAGAGAAGAGCTGAACCATTCCATAGTTACGAATAGATGTATGGTGATCCACTAATGGCAGACAAACATTTTTGGATTTAACAGCAGCAGGACCTGTAAGCTAGAACATTTCTGAAATTAAAAGCTTCATACACCAGTAATTAAAAACTCAAACAATGCGATATAGTAATTTTTCTTAAGGTATGCGAATTAAATGTATACAATCATAAAACATTTTACTTGAACGTAATAAACAGAAAATGAGTATTAAGCAAATTCAAAATAAAAATTATACACTATTTTTATTACAGAAATTTAAATATGATAAATAAAAAATACACTTGATTGCTAAAAGTAACTAACTTATGTTGATTTTAATATATACACTACCGGAGTAAATTAAACGAAAATCTCTTAAATGAAGTCCATTGAAAGATAGTTGTTTGATAGCTCAAGGTCAACATTTTTAAGTAATTCAATGGGATTCACTTTCGTTCTATAGATATATGCAAAGTATTGCTCCCATTCTTTCAGCACGTGAGAAAAGGAGTGCAAGAAGTTAATTCAAATTTTAATTTCAAGAATTGTGAGAGTAGCTGCATAAATGTTGTGCATACAGAAGGTGGACCATGCCTAGAAGGCATCTGACAGACTAGAAAAATGGGCGCCTGGCAGATACTGACACAGGTCTGTAACCTAAAAGCAACCAAAATCATCATACCGGGAATCTAAAAATGGTTTAATGACATGGGTATGTTCTAGGTAAAAAAAGTAGCATAACAGACACTCAGGACCATTATTTCTCAACAACTGCTGAAGTTACTTTGTTAACATAGGAACTCCTAGACTATCTAAGAGAGCAAGGAAAGTTGCTGTAAAGCCTGCATTTTGGTTATGGGTGATAACAAACCACATTAAATTTTTCTGATGTGTCTCTAAAAAGTTAGAAGAAATTTTTCCTACCCTACTTTATATAACATTTCTTATACAGACAAAAGTCTTTAATCCGGACGTCCATAATCCGGATGATCTATAATCCGGACCTCAAAACTACAAACTTTCTGCACATGCGTAAACGCATGCGCATATGCGTTCACGCACGCGTATTTAATGTATAACGGACGGTATAAGTTAAGTTAAAATTACCTAATTATCTATTTCAATTAATGTTCCAGATTGTGTTGTTCCTTAATCTTCTAATTGGATCTGGCTTATTATTTTTTGTGGACTGTTAGAGCAATTTTATAAAAGTAAACTTGAACTTTCGATTATGTCAAAAATAATTTCCGATTCTGGAGCTGCCAAAGGATCTACAAAGCGAAAGCATGTTTCGATGTCCATCAAACAAAAAGTGGAATTGCTGCAAAATATAGATAAAGGCATATCCTTGTTTCTCTAACCATTCCGAAATCTGTTTTCAATTTTGCGCTGCTCTGCGTGGAGAGGAGGGGAAACGTTGTGGCGCGCAATGAACTGGAAGTTGATCTGTCAGCACTATCCTTATCTTCAGGGCAAATGTTTTTATTTTATTCAGCTTATAATTCCTTACTAAATGTAGTATTTCATCTCGATGTACTCCGTCTTTGATATGATTTAAATCAAATTCTTCGTCATTATAAATAAATAGTTTTCTGGTTGCAATTTTCTTATTTCGACTATGCGTAATGTATGCTTTACGCATCCGCGCGTTGAAATAAATGTTTAAAAAAGTAAACAAATAAATATTAAGCTTTTTTTTTTTTTGTAAATTTTGATACCCTTTAGATCATAATTGTTCTTTATTTCATAAATTACGGTTTCCTATTTTTAATTTTATAATTTCTGCATGCCATCTTACCAGATTTAAATTGATGATCTATAATCTGGAAAAACCGATAATCCGGAATCACCGAAGTCGCGGCGAGTCCGGATTAAAGACTTTTGACTGTAATCATATTTTATTATTATTATTTTTTTTGAATAAATAAGCAGTTCTTTATTTTGAAACTATGTCAGGCGTAGCAAAATAAAGAGCTTGTGCAAGTTCCATGTTCTTAGTTGAAAACCATTCAAGTTATATTAGTTTTTATTAGGTGTTCCTTTAATTTTTTCCACCAGTGCATTACGAGATACATAATTCATATCTTCAAATATATATTCAATTTATTCATTATATGGCAATGCATAAACTGAAATGAAAGCCAGGCGATGAAGGTGGTCCTGAAAAAATTTTGCATAAATAGGCAGTTCTACACATTGTATCGCCAAACAAGATGTGATCAATATTTCATCATTCTAAAAATCATGGAGAAACATCAACAAAGTAACAAAACATTAAAAAGAAAACTGGTATTCAAAGCATAACTTTATATATATATCAGTATGTGAAGTTTTTATTCAATTATTTTATCATAAATACCTTTCAGACATGCTAAATTCATATTAACCATATACAGAACACAAAATATTATACAAAACGTTTAAAAGAACTGGCATTCAAAGCATAACTTTTGATATATATCAGTATGTGAAATTTTTATTCAATTATTTTATCATATACAGAACATGAAATATTATACACTGACATAGTGAATAATCATATAGCCTGATATTAAATAGCTTAATGACAAACGCATATTCAAAGGCTATGCATAATCCGAATATTTTGTTTTTTAAGGGATAACCAAAACTCATACTTCCATGCACCATATAAACTTTTAATTTTCAAATTATATAATAAATAAAATGAAAAGTTGTTAAGCTCATTTCTGTCCCTTTAAAATACAGTCTCCAAGTACATTTCCGCATTCATCCCACCTTGATAGACGAACTTAAGAATGAAAAATATACAATAAAATCAGGCTCTCTGCAAATATCAAGGCTACATGAAACTCCAAGTAAAAAAAAAAAAAAAAAAAAAAAAAAAAAAATGATGAAATTTAAACCATTCATGTCTGCATTCTGTACTGTAATATTATATGTACAGTATTGCCCTCAAAATTGTCTTTCAGTTACTCAAAAAGAGAAAATCAGATAAAGCTTAGGTGTAGTAAAAGTTTCTATGTTTGATATGAACTGAGGTTTTTATTTCAAATTTCATAAATTTAAGTAAAAAAAATCACCTTGTGCATTTTAGAACCTCATTATTCAGGTATTCAACTGTTTGGATTATGATGATGAGGAAAATATTTTCCTCTAAGTGCATAAGAAATGGATATACATATATCATCCCTGATAATGAGGTTTTCAGAAACACATTTCATTCTTCCTTAAACAGCTGATGATAGGAAATGGAAACTGAAAGATATCGCTTAGCCCCTCAGTATGCGTGGTTTTTTTTTTTTTTTTTTTTTTTTTTTTTTTTACATTGAAGCTCTTTAAATTCAGCCATTTAAAAAAAATATTATAATTTTCAGGCAGCTTCTCCAGCATGACACCTTTTATCTCCCAAAAGTGTTCCTGGGTTGTTAACTGCATTATTGCACTATGATATATTTATCCCTTATATGTCTACATTTATTGCATTTTCATCTCATTCTTCTCTGAAATATGCTTAAGAGATTTAACCAAATCATACTGCAAACTAAATCTTTTTGGCATCAAATTATGCTGCAAACTTTTACACAGTTGCCAATAAACAAGAGCTGCAAAAAAGTAATTAGTCATGCCAAAAACTGCACTTTTACAGTCAGAATAAACTACTAGAAAGAGAAGAAAAATAAAGAAATTAACACACTTAGTGGACTCAGGTTTTGACAAGCCAGGAAAGATCGACATCTTATTGGGGACTGAGCTCTTTTCTGATTTGGTGAGACAGCGAGAGATACCATCGTCTAGTACTTTCTTTTTCCAAGATTCAATTTTCGGATTTATTACTAGTGATGTTATTGAAACTGAAAGTTCAAATCAATATGGCGAGCTAAACTCTTAGTCCAAAATCTCAGAAGCATGCTTTCATCAGTTTTGGCAAACTGAAGATATGGCTAACGAAACTCTCCAAAGCACAGAAGAGGAGTTTTGTGAATTGCACTATCAGAGGACACACAGGAGAGACGAGAGTGGACATTTTAGTATAGATGCCTATTTGAAAAGAAGCACTTCATCAATTAGGCGATTCGAGAAACATAGCTAACAAACGTTCTAATCAAACGATTAAAAGGCTAAATAGAAACCCAAACCTAAAAAAGCTTTATACACATTTTATCAAGGACTATGAAAGCTTAAATCATATGGAAAGGGCTAAAGAAGAAAAACCTCTACACATTACATTCTATCTACCTTACCATGAAACTTACAAACCTGAAAAGTCATCTATGAAATTACAACCTGTGTTTAATGTATCAGGACCTACTACTTCAGACTTAAGTCTAAATGATATTTTACTATCAGGAAAAGTTAAGGAAGCTATTTTTGATTTAATTGTTCTATTTCGTAAACATGAAATTGTTCTAGTTGCAGATATTAAGCAAATGTTTAGCCAGATTTTAATTAACTCCTCACAAATAGATCTGCTATGTATCCCACGGAAAGAGCACGAAGATGATTCATTTAGTGTCTTCAGACTAAAATCTGTTACATATGGTACTAAATGTGCTCCATTTCTAGCTATAAGGACACTGAACCAATTACCTTTGGATGAACAGCAAAAATACCCAAATACCCATTAACTTCTGAACTCTTTATAATGTCTATATTGACGGCATAGCAACGGGAGCCCTTAATATTGAATCTGCCATTGAATTAAGGAATCAACTCATAAAGATATTCAGAAGCTGTGGAATGTCTCTACAGGAACTCTAAGGACCGTATTAGACCTTTCAGTGTCTAAACAAGAGTTTCAATTTGTTTTCACTGAATTTACGAAAACTCTTGGCATAATCTAATAACCAGAATCCTACATCTTGACTTTTAAAGTTGCTTTCCAATACAAGTCATCTTTTATGAAAAGAGATGTCCTTTCGATTATTGATGGGCTCTATGATCCTATTGGTTTTATCAGAGCAGTCATTTGTAAAGCAAAAATATTTCTTCAGTAACTGTGGTCTTTAAAATTGAACTGAGATGATGAATTACCTAAATCATTTACCAGTGAATGGAATTTTGTTTCAAAGTTATAATACTTAAAAAAAAAAAAAAAAAAAAAAAAAAAAAAAAAAAAACTTGAGATAGAAAGATATTAATTCAGAAGTCAAACAACAAAAATCAGCGTTATATTTACAAAATTTAGTATTTATTCGGCGTGTTATTGTGTCTTAATTATAGAAAGATATTTTTTGCATTCTACAGCTGATAAAAGGGCTGTTGTAGGCTTCACTGACGCTTCAACTTCTGCGTATGGAATGGTCGTTTACCTAAAACCCAATCAAGATAGCTCTTGTTTAAAGTTACTGGTAAGCAAATCTCAAGTAGCTCCTTTGAGGTCTCTTACCGTTCCCACGTTTGGAGTTTTCAGCTTCTCTTCTATTTGCTAAGCTTATTAAAAGAGTTTTGACTTTTTTAAATTAAGACATTGAAAAGGTAACATTCTATTCTAATTCAACTATAAGAGTAGCATGGATTAACTCTTCACCACACCAACTCAAAACTTTGGAAATTGTGTTGTGTGTAATCGTGTAGTTTAAATACATCGTCTTTGTCCTATAACCAAAAGCACCCCAGGGATCATAAATTAACTGCTTTAATTTCATTTAAAATATTTACATGTTGGTGCTAAAACTTTGTTGCATTGTGTTCGACAGGAATTTCAGCCATAAAATAGTACATAGCTCCATTACCTGTCTAAAAAATAAAACCCAAAATAGCCAAACAACCTATGGCACCATTGCTGAAAGAAAGAGTTTTGGTGAGTCTCCCCTTTTCCGTAACTGGCATTGATTTATTCGGACCCTTTTACATAAAATACAAAAATCAGTGAAGAGGCACCTTAAACAAGATACACGTTGTCATTTTTGTACGCTGAGTGATACATGTTGATTTTGCTACAGATCTAACATGGCAGACTGTAAATTGCAACATTAAGAAGATTTTTCCACGGCTGGGCCTTTAACTGGGCTATATATTTGGATAATGCTACCAACTTTGTCATGAAAAGCTGTTAATCCTTGTCGAAAGTTCGCCTAATCTGTCATCATATTTAGCTTCTGAATAAACAATCTGGAAATTCAATCCACCTCGATCTCCCAGTTTCTGTGGTATTTATGAGCATTAAATCCTTTAAATATAATCTAAAACGAACTACTAAAAATGCAAAATTAACTAATTGAAGAATTTTTGACTGTCATAAGTCATAAACCAAATTGAAGGTACATTGAATAGTAGACCATTGTTACCTCTATCTTCAGATCCCAGTGACTTCGAAACTTTGATCCCTGACCATTGTTTAATTGGAAGACTCCTGAAGGCTCTACAGAAATTACCGATAACAGACTTCCCACTGGCAGAAAATTAAAATTAACCAAATAATATGGAAGAACTGGTCCACAGATTATCTTAAGATACTTTCAGCAGATATGCAAATTGTTCTTTCAAAAAGAAAATATAAAAAGATGTACTCTTATATTAGTTAAAGAGGATAAACTACTTCTATGGTACTATCCCTGAAAGCAATGGCCAAATCCGTATTGTTGTTATAAAAACTCAAGGACTGGTAAACTGTAGAATTTCTAATATATTTATTCTGCCTACTGACTGAAGTAGTGAAATTGTTTACTAATTCCTTGTATTAATATTGCATGTTTCTTTTACTGTAAAATTCAGTTTCTTTGCAGAATTGATTTATTGCATTTAATTTTTTATATGAATGCCTTAATTTATGTACATTAGTTCTGAAATTAGAATTTCAATCTCGAGTGAGATGTTAGCACCTGATAGTCTACTAAGCGAAAACTTTCTCCTTTGCTGTCTGACTAGCAACGAATCCTGTAATGCCCCACGTGCACCAATATAGCTTTTTTATTTGTGATACTAGTGATTTGAGAGATTGATCTTCGTTTCGTGTTTGAATAGCTGCTAATTGAGTGATTAGATTATGAATAAATGAAAGATGAATTTCCAATGAAGTTAAGTTTTGTTTGTTATTTCGTAGTTACAGTCCAGAATACTGTTCAAATGGCAAATATTCCTTCTCTTATTTGTCACCTGTTTCATGTAACAGTCCTTCAAGGAAGTTTTAATTTTCAGAGTATGTATCTTCAGACAAAATCTGCATTTAAAGGTTGTTTTGGGGCATAAATGCAAAACTCAAGAAGCACCATATATCTACACATAAAAGATCAGATACACAAAGTGCATTCTTCATATCAGGTTTTATCACCACAGCTTCATGCTGAAAATAACCCAAACAGGGTTTTACCTGCAAAAGATCTTTTCGGCTTTAATAAATAAAATAACAAACAGATATGTTGTATATTTTTAAAGTGTTAGATAAATTAGGAAAACTAGACAGTTGCTTCACAGCAATTAACTTTAAACTTTAATACGTATGTATTATATAAAGGGGAAAAAAGAAGCAGTAGCATACACTCTTAAGATAAAAAAGGGGGAGGGGGGAAAAGGAAAAATCCTGCTTTTAAAAGATTATGTGCTCCCTCAGAACTTTACTGTGAGTTAAGAAGAACAAACAAATTTAGACTTAATCATAACAAACTAGCCTTCCACATTTACAATTCAAAATATTTACACATATTAATGTAATCTATGTTAAAATTAAGGAAATAAAGTAACTTTTCTTTATTTAAAAGTAAAAGTATGCTTCCACTTCAGAAACGAAACTTTGAATTGAAGAATTTTTAAGTTTGGTTTAAAACAACATCTAGGCAACCTAATTTGAAAACATGGATTTCAAAAATAAAAAAACCATGGACACAAAGCACAAACCTAGGGAATATTATATACATCCAACTTTGTTTTTAATCACACATGTGTTCAAGAAATTAAGAATAAACCTCACCTAAACAGAATAGATCAGCAGCTGCTTTAAATTCAGAAACATTGATATTTTGGAAACTAAAAGAAAATTAAAATATTGATCAGCTATCAGAGAACAGATTAAAACTGATAGTCAACACTCAGAACTCAAAATTTTGAGATTATTTTCACTCAGAGAAGAAACTATTTCACATTTAGAAAAATATGTGTATACTTTACATCCAAATGATGTTACAAGTTTCAAGAAAGGTTTGGTTCTATTACTTCACATGACACATTTCATACAATACATGATATTATAAAACATTGATTAGAAATGGAATGAAAATCAAATACCTTAAGATTCCTGTATTAATAATTAATTTGGCAAAGCATACAAGGGTCTAGGGAGGGAATGACTTTATAAGGCTTTTTATTGGAAAATCTCATATTTTTTCATGCATAGGGAAAAACAATAAAAATTCCATGCAGCAGCCAGCCTGCTCAGATGACAGGAGAAAAGGACTATAAACTGGCAGTATTCTATTGCCACTCCATTCAGCAAATGGTAGGCTATTTTAATGAAACACACATGCATATATTAATGATAAAATTAGGTTCTCATTAACAGCCACCAAAAGAGTTAAAATACATTACAGAGGAAAGACTAAGGCAGTAATTAGTTTTAAAATAAAAGAATACTGATTACAAGTGGAATAAAAAAAAAGTAAATAAAAAAGAACATACAATGCAATCTTATGAAGCTGCATAAAGTTATTTACAGTAAAAAGGAAAATTAATTACATTTAGCGAATATTAATGTCAAAGAAGAAACATGTTAGAAATATTTTTGAGCAGAAAGATTAAGAACAATAAAATGAGCAATTGCCGTAACTAAATACATTTTCCTAAGATCAGATCTAGTATATAAGCATTCAGAAATGTATATGACAAAATAATGAATTTTGCATATTTCGGGCATATCATTGGTTCTAGAATGCACAAATGTGTTCATGACATAATTACAACTAAACATTCCAACTAAACACTTGAAACTAAATATTTAAACTAACTAATATGGTACAGTTCCTGGGGCCTCTAACATCATATTTTACCTAATGACAATAATTTATTTGGTAAATAACAGGCATATCTCAATACCTTCAAACTTTTCAGTCAAGGCATATCTCAATACCTTCAAACTTTTCAGTCAAAATGCTAAGCACATTTTACCATAAAATGAAATTACTATTCAACTGCATAAGCAACTGAGTACACATCTGAAAAATTCTTGCATAAGGAATAATTTTATTTATAACACACATATTTTTCACTATACAAAGGAAAGATGAAGACCGTAATTTAAATAATAAAATATAATCCTGCTCAGAGTACGTGAAATTTTATAATGATCTGAGATATAAACAATAGCTTTTTAAGGAGGAAAAGAAGGGGAAAATAAGGAATGATTTATGGAATTTACAACAGTTAACACATAACACTGGAATGCATAATATGTTCAAAATTGATGCATCCTATACCACAGATATAAATGGGAAGAGGAAGAATTACCCCATTTCCCTGCATCAGTAAGATATTAATTGTAGCTCAACACATTTTGTAAACAATAATGTAGAGTTTTTACAACAGTATAAAGTTTCAAGAAAAAATTTACATTTGGATAATTCATTATAAAAATGAGTATAGTTATTAACTATAAATACAGTAAGTAAAAAATATGAAATATTGTACTTCTTATACATAGTAAACTCACTTTATAGCCAAAAACAAGATCAATCCAGTGATGAAGTCTCTCTGAAACATGGTAACCTTCTAAAGCTTCTCTGTGTTTCTTAATAAAATCTTCAGGACTTTTGCACCATGAAGGAACACCAAGGTCACTCAAATCAGGATGAATGGAATAAAATATTGTAGGATCAGAAAAAAACTCTGGAATGCATTCATCTGGTGTCCATTCCTAAAAGTAAAATTATTACTCAGCACAAAATTCTAAAGAACTAGGTTTTTCTTTTAATAGGAAGACAAATGAGTTTAAAAAAAAAGGTTATTTTACATTAAATTGTAATGCTTCATGTAATACAATTCCATTACCTGGTTTGAATGAAAATGAGGACAGTTCAGTGTATCTTAAGTGTCACAAAATAACACCTAATTATAAGGAATGTTAACTACTCTAATATAAAAGGAAATACAGTACAAAGTCTGAGATCTAGAATTGTCAGGACTTCAACAACACCGAATTTTATATCTTCAGTTTAAATCTAGTGAGATGACATGTAGACATGAAAATATTTAGGTTTCACTTATTGTTTAAGTCAGATAGACGAATGCTAATTCCTAACAATGCGCACCAGAGCCAGAGCGGCAAACATTTTAAAGGTTAGAGGAGCACGGAGCAACTAAAATTAAGGATATGAAAAGTTTTAGAATTTAGTAGAGTCACTGGGCAGCAGAATTTAGGTAATATTTTTAGAATTTTGGGAGGTAAAGGGGCAACAGAATTTAAGACCCACAGAAATTGCAGAGGGCGGCTAAATGTGTACCTCCGGCCCTGCTCCCTACAACCACTCAAGGGCAGAAAGTCCTTGGTCAGCATCAATACAATGTCAATCAATGTAACTGTAATGTCAATCAATACCACTCCCTAGCCAGCAGATGTTTGAAAGTGATATGCAGGAATTTCAGTTGGTCCAGAGAAAAAACCAGATTTATGGCACAACTGCTTCCTTTTTTTGAGCACTATATTCTCCATTCCTAGAATTTGCAAGGAGGGATATTTTGTTACTTTATTTATTTGTTTCTTTGGCTAGTGGTTTGAAGGTCCGGGATGTTAGATAATTCCAGATATTAGATGTCAGGCCTTCGGACATTGTACTGTAATCTTAGACTTTACAAGGCAGGAAATTTTTTTTATTACTTTAGTTTATGTATGTATTTATTTTTTAGCTGGTGATCCAGATATTGGACATGCGGATTTCAGACTTTGTATTGTAATACCAAATAAAGTAGATGGAGACATTCGAAAAGATTAATATCAAGTTATATAACAAGTAGCAGGAAGACTGAAAACACACTAAAAAAATGAATTTCAGCATCGAAGGGATAAACATTGTTGCAAAAGAAGTTGATTGCGAATTGGATGAAGTTTTTTAAATTTTGAAAATTAAATAATTTCATATAGAGCTGTTAAAAAAGAAAATGGCGGTGTGAATATTTTAAAATGCAACGTGCTTTAAAAAATTGAAAATGCACATACTTATAAAGTATTTCTTAGAACCCATAACATTATATAGTACACAATAATGTACTATCTAATGTTAAGTATGTATTACAGTACTAAATAAGATATTTAAAAAAAAAAAAAAAAAAAAAAAAAAAAACCCACAGTATCATCAAATAAAAACTGTTTAAAATGAATCAAAATATTATATTTAACTAGGAAATATGAAATAAACATCCATTTCTTGCAGCTTTAAACATGTTGCATTTACCTTACTAACTACATATGTAATCTGATCTCAGAGAACTATGCTTCTGCTTTCTTATATAACAATTCCACATAAAATTATTTAATTTTCGAAATCAACAAGTCTATAAATTTTCAATCCAATTAACTAACACTTCTTCTACAACAATTTCTACTTATTCCTTCACTGGTGTCACCAACTGCAAATAGCAGTACACTATTGGTCTCCTAGATAAGACATATCATGGTGCCTGCTTTCTTTTCCAATGAACTTTTCATTTCTATCTACTAACCAAGAGGGACTTTTAAATTCATTCATGGGACTTAATTCATTGTAGCTATTCAATGCATTAAAAAATGCTTTTCTACTTATGAAAGTGATAGCAAAATACTTAAGATATTAAGGTAATGCAGTTTCAAAACATCAGAGAAATTCAGTAGTTTCACAGCTATTAAACAGACTCATAAATTTCAATTTCTACCTTCCTTTGCAACTGAAATTAAACTATACTGAGCTAGATTTTAATTATATTAAAAGATCATCACTTGATGGAATGATATGCCAAACAAACTGTTCACAAGCTGCGGTTCTGCAAGCATATTAAATACTAAAGGGCAGTGAAAGTTTTGCTCATTTTGTCATCTATCACATGCCAGATCCTGTCAATGTACTACACAAAAATTAGCTTCTTTATAAACTTTAGCACTCAAGGTTAGCACCACTTGTCAGCTCTTGGTCAATGGCTCAACAATCGGAAAGCTATTGCTGCAGACAGAAGTTTCTCATCTTAAATTATTGATCAAGTTTTCAAGCATTTTCCCATTCTAATAGGGGACAAATAACAAGATTATCCTTCCCACTATCAGCTACAAAACTGAATGTATTTTATATAACTTCAACTTTTGTGTTACTTCTCTTCCTGTAAAAAATTAGCAATTCTGTCCTTGACTATCCCATTCCTGACATGAATTCTAGGGGAATGTATAATATTTCTTCTCAGTGAGGCTTGTTATACATTAGTCAAACCATCCATGCATTGAAGTTCTGAGTCAAATATTATGAATCTACACATCTACAAATGCCAGATGACTAGTAACTATCCCAATTGCCTTCTGGCTTCCCAATACTTTTTATATGAGGCAGAGTCGATATAAGCAGCATTCATTGGTTGTCCAGAGTTAAAAAGCCAGCAGCTGGTTAGTTTCTTAGTCTAGCATGAAACAAATGGGCATCAATAAGTCATGTTAAGAGGTGAAATGCAGCAACAGCCAACCTGAAAGAAACACTTGGAACAGAAAATTTTTTCCTATGCCTTTCCCGAAAATTCTCAATTCAGGAAAAGTGTGTGTATCCAAACATGATTTTTAAATTCAAAAAAAGGAAACAAGTAAATTAATCACTGCACACGATTCATCTGTAAACAATAAACACAATTTTGTCATCCATAAATACAATGTTGTTCAAATACAAAATCATCCGTAGAACTTCCTTGGTGAATTAGATTTCCATGAAGCTTTCCACATCTATAAAAATATGTCTACATCAGTTAGTTAACTGTCTGCATCAGTTAGTTTAAATTCTGATCTGTGTTTCCCACCAATCAACAAAGACAGAAATTCTTGATCTACATTATTTCTTTTCATTGTTTTTTTTCTTTCTCCACATTATACAAAGCATTGTTCTTTACTTATTAGTAAGTTCTTGAAAATTCATTGGCATCTTATTCTGTTTGTGGTATTTATCTTTCAGTTATTTACAGATAAATGAAAATTAGCGTACAAATGCTAGGATCATTTTTGCAAAAGTAAAGTTAATGCCGAATAATATTGTTTATCTATATCCCAAACCATCACATTTCAACTCTTATTACAAACTTATGAATGGATAATATGCCTTGGTCAGAAGACATATTATCCCTTCATATTTTTTGTATAGTAAAACTATTTTTTGCATCAAGTTGAACAAATTATTAATTCATGGTTTTGATTTTAATATCTGAAATTAGTGAATTATCAATGTAACAATGCTACATCCATTTCTTTACTAATTTGCTGAATTTCAACTGCTTCACATGTTAAAGCTTTTCTTTTTAGAGGCAAAATCATGATTATACATTTAGTTGACATTATAAGACTATTCTTTTCAATTAGATGTCTACTTCACCATAGAAACAACAAGAATGACATAACAGAAGGTCATGCATTGAAGTAAGCAAACGACAGCTAGTTCTAAAACTACTTCAAAATTCTCTTTCAGCTAAGTACAATTTTAATTAAAGATATGTAGGTGATTTTCACAAACCGAAAATTACCCAGCAAATAGGATAAGTTAGACAATAGTAACTATACAGCATTTACTGGAAGTTGTTACCAAAACTTAACACTAGCTTTTTTTTACACTAAACTGAAAAATAAAATGTTTTTATTGGCAAGATCTGCAAGGTACTTTATATTAACTACAGCAACACACAAAACAATTATCCATAAATATCATCATGTTCTTAGCATTAAAGCTGATAAAAATTTATACTCATTAACTGAAAACAATACTCTTTGGCCACGGTAAACACTTAAATGTAAAAAGGATTTTCAATAAGTTTTAAGATGAATGCCTACATTGATTTATGGTTTTCTACGTAGTTTATCACAGTTTCAAAGCAATTACCACTTAGCAATTACAAGTTACCAGTTAGGCATCAATTTCAAAGCAATTATCAGTTAGGGCATCAATTTCCAGTAGAAAAAAAAGTTTTGTCACAATCTCAATTGGCATATTTCATGGCACAATCATCACTGTAATGTGAACCATGCAAATTTTGTTCCAATTTTGGAATAAAAATAGTTACTTGGAGCCATGTGTATTGAAAATGGTGAATATGTCAGACGCTGAACAAGAAGTCTGGGAAAACCCATCCTTGTATGCAGCTGCATTATCATGCAAAAACAATACTTTTCTGCTAAGTTTTGCTAAGGAGTTTTCTTCTTTCTATGGCTTGTTGGAGTTCAATCAACAAGTTGGCATATTAAACATATGTTATTATGGTGTTATGCTACACAGTCAGCAACAGCTCCTCTTTATCCCCAAAATATGATGGTTAAAATCTTTCCGAGCAGACTTCAATACTCTGAACTTGTGGAATTGAGAAGATTCCTTGTGGTTCCATAACAAGCTCTTTAGTTGCATGTTTGGGCTTGGAGCATTTGATTGCAGCAAATCACACAACTATCTGCCTAAGAGAAAATATGCCTTCATGGAAGAAAAGCTGGGTCATAATTCACATTAAAAATAGCACAAATGTAAAATCATAAAAATTTATACAGGGTGGGGCCTGTATGCACCCACCCTAATTCCTGGCATTAGTATTTGAGGTAGACATTCCTTACTGAACTTTAAAGTAACTCTTTTTTCCTACCAAATTTACCCATTCCATTATTCATTTTCATATACCATCAACCCATCATATTTTCTTATACACTGATGATTATCACAA